CATGACACGTAATTTGGTCATGAAAACTAAGTCTGCCATGTGCTCAAATTTTCTACTTCTGTTTATACCTCCATGGTCTGATCAATTAAATTGTGGAAGGTACTTCCACGATTAAATTTTCATAATAATCGCTTTACATACTGTCGACGTCTTCTCCAAATTTCCTTGCATTCGTTTTCTTTCGTCACTGTCATAGTCGACCCCAAAACGGTTTCATGGTCGACTACTTGAAGAGCGAGAAATTCAACGAAATTAAATTTGTGGACGATCGTATATGGAATGCGTGTAACTTGTACCTCGAACTACTAATACTTGTATTACTAGTCTGAGCTTGTACTGAATGCAAGAGACTGTTTATATTTGCTATGGGTGGTGACTATTATGCAAATTATCTGTCTATTATGTCTTTGGCTGATTAATTAAAACATAGCTTTCAAAACAATAACATGTGCTTTTGTTTTTAATTAACAAAAATTGATTTTTACACCCTATAAAAACATCCAATTCACTTTTTTTCCTACTGAGTGTTTGCTCCTTGTAGTCCAGCATTGAAAAATACAAAAAAGTAGAATTTTGGGTTTCAAAGCAAAAAAAAGGTGTACAGCATCCTTAATCACACTCCCTCAATGTTGAGGGACTGTGCATTAATTAATCTCAAGTAGAGAGTAAATAGCGGCAACGCACATAGATCAAAAGACAGTGGGTCAATGTTCATCCTGTGTTGGTCGGTCTATGCCTAAACTATGTTTTATGTAATTTTGAATCGTGTAAACTGTTTGTGTTTTATCGCTAGTATTTCAAGCATCATTAACGCAATTACTACATGTACAATATCTAACTACATACAAGCACATTTTCCTTAGAGATCAGTAAATGTCGGTCGGTCACTCGGGCTGTCGCCGGGAGAAGAAAACCGGCATGTCGAAATCACGCAAAAAAATGCTTACCAGCAGTTGGTGGCACTTCTCCAATGTACTTCACAGTGCCATAGTTGCCATCACTTACAAACCTGCTTCCAACAGTGACATTTGCCATTGAAGATCAACTTCGGGAAAAGAACTTTTGATCGTTGTCAGTTGTTTAGATTGTTCTGTCAACAACTTGCAGGGTTGATCACAATCCACGCGACGACCACAAACGTCTACACAATGTAGTTGAAATTTCGACGTTCGGCAATAACATGCAATAAAAAATATAAGACGAAATCGTGCAACTTTTATCCGAATTTCACGTGAAATATTAATTAACTTTTACAAAAATTCGTTCAGCATGCAAACTCCGTTACACAAGAAAGCTGCCATTTTGATAGTGAAATCGAGGCTAGGGTCATTCTAGGTCAGTTGATTAATAACAAGACGAACTCACTGACATTATACGGCCAAATCGGAAAGCACAAAAAAACGAATCGTTCGGCGTTTCGTAGCGTTCTTTAAGTATATACATGGCTTATGTAATAATATGTATATCTAATAAAATCATGCTGAAAACGAAAAAAACATGATTTCAGACACAGAGGGCGCTGGGGCAGGTGTGAAGTGAAACAAGAGTGTGAAAAGTGTTCGTCTTTATTACTTTCACAATCCATTGAATAAATTCCATTTCCATTTCATTATTTATTCAACATTACGGATAAGCCATAAACGAGGCAGCTTTTTTTACAGACGTTGGCAGAAAAAGAGTTAGATTGCATGTAAAATTCGAGCGGAGCGATACAAAGTACAAGAAAAGAGTCGGACTACACTGTTAAGACATAGGCAAAACCAAGTAAACTTTTAAATATTTGAGGTCATTGACACTGCAGTATTACCTGCTGAAACTATGTGATATACTTAGTGTTACTAAATCCATGTAAATGTGTCCCGACTGTTTTAAGAACCTATTTTTTTAAAGTTTACATAGAAGTGTTTTCCAGCCCAGTAATTCACCATTAGAAAAACACTTTTAACATGATCATTTCGTGTCAAATCATTATAAAACTCAGACACATCCACATCTTTTACTGTCTTGTAAATCGTCACAGTAAATTTGGAACATGTGACTCTAATGTAGTAGATTTGACGAGGGTCCCAATGAGATAGTTACACTCATTTATCAAGAAGACACATAAAAAGTGTAGCAAATACTAAACATGAGTGATTTATTCCAATATTACCACAAAATACTAAACAAATTACAATTTATTGCCCAGTTCTACTGCAGAACATGATAATCAAACTGTTAAGAGAATAATTTCATATCAAAGAGTGCAAATTGGGGAACAATCTTGTGTGTGTTGTGAGTGATATATTAGTATCCATTTTTACGTAAATATACCAATCGAAGGTTAATCAAACAATATTGTTCAACATAATTCACTGACTGTTTACAAATAAACTATAGTTCAAGTGCATCTGATTAGACACAATAAACAATCAAATTCACTTTTTATCTAAGTTTCTTCAAAGGACACACATCATGCGACAACATTGCAGTGCGCGTTTGTTTAATTTTTCAAACACCCATTTCTGCAGCATTCTAGGGAGATTCCGATTTTTTAATTAGCAATAATGATTTATCCAAGTTTAAATTGACCAACACGTGCTCACAAATTAAACATTAATTAAACTACATTTATTGCTCCTTACAAATAATGATATATAAATGTTATTTCCAGGTTCGCGTGGCAGTATAGATTCATATTAAAACATGGTTTTATGCTAAATGTGCCATATTTCCTTGAAGAAGCAAAATTGTGCCGTGTTCTTAACATGATAACGAATTGAAGGACAATTGATTGTTTACTATAATATTCATTTCCCCGATCCGTTAAAACTAATTGCCCAGTTAACCACCTTAAAAACAACTAGGTTGTGATGGTAAGATTCCTCTACGGCAACAGATTAAAATTCACACAGACACGCAAAAAACTATAATCAATCAAGCAAAATGGCGACCGTGGTTTGGTGGTATTTGACCGTCAACCATATACTACTAGGGTCGACCACTAATTCCAATAGTACATGGCCATAGCACAAAATGTTGTAAGAAGATCAGACCATAGAAAAAAGTTAGGTAGATATCTTCAATGTTTATCCCAGAGATGTTATTAACCTCTAGGATCTGGCTGAGATAAAGAAGAAAGTGTTGTCAGAAAGAACCTTCACCGTGACGGTTTTTAAAATCCTATAGCAAGGTATATTTTGTTACTATAAAATGTACTTTCATCGTGTCCTGATTTGGATATTGATTCAAATTCTATGTTTACTGTACAATTATAGTGCTAATACAAATAAAGAACGAATGAAAAACATAAATAAAGACAACAAATGTAATGAGGCAGCTGGTGCATTGTAAGTTCTGAGTTATTCCCAGATGATGAAGCAATGTTGAATATATTTTGCTAGCTGAATTTATGTTTTACCTTTTGTTATGTAAATCAATAATACAAATATCATTGAATAAACATACTGGTATAGGACCCTCCATTGAGAGGTAGCTTAAACACATCCTATTTTAAATAAAATTCCGTCTGCTATGTCTTTACATATAGAACTTACATGGCAAACACCGTAACATTACGTCAGATAACTTTATAATAGATCTATAGATTATATCGCAATTCCACATTATAGTGCATTGTGGGATGGCGCGCTTTGTGGTTGGCGGAGTCGTTTTTGATTGGATCAAAATTATCCCACAATACACTGTGATTTGGAATGGCTCTATGGAACTGTATTTCTTTGGAGGCACACGGTTTTTCGCTTTGATAATGGGGAGGTCACCTTATTTCTGATTCATAGTATGGGAGGGGTTAGTGTGTTTCGCTTTGAGCCGTGAGAGCAATTACCTAAAAATATTTTATTAACTACGTATGCATTATATAACATACACACATTTTTGGATTTGGTAATATCAAGGATTTATAAGACAAGTGTTTGCAGTGGTGATTATCCGAGTATGGTGAAATGCAAGTTCACATCGACATCGGAATGCAATGGATGTATAGAAAAGAGTGATAGTGTAAACAGAAATGAACGACAAGGCTTGCGAATCTTCAAGATGACTGTCAATTTCATTCAAATCAAAGTACAATCAAGTAATAATACTTCCTTTCATAGTGGTGTACGTGGGATATCAGTACTTATGAATAACACATCCAGTAACGTTTATATATATATATATATATATATATATATATATATATATATATATATATATATATATAGTAAACGATGAGAGAACCATTCAAATTATATTTCCCAATACGCATTAGTGCAATCCCGGGGATTGTGGAGCGGCGCTTTAAACCCAGGATATGAGGATATACAGATGTCGAATATCTGCCCAGTCACATGACCAATTTCTCAGTTTTTGTACCTGTTAATAATAGTACAATGCTACTTTTAGTAAGTCCGTTGATTTGTGCCCAAAGCTACTTTACCATAGTCCCATGGAAATACCCCCGATATGTTCACTGTCAGTGTAATAGTCACATGAACGTTTGATACAGATATGTTTCCAATTATATTTCACTTATTAATAATAAGTAATATATAATATTAATATTTTGCATGTTCGCATTTGAGAACAATCTATTTTTGGCAAAATTAGTAAATTAGATGTTCATGAATGCATGCAATTATTTTCTACTGACTACTGTGAACAATAATCAATCAAACTGTTACAATGTAACATAGATTGAACATTACTGAAGTACGAAAATATAGCAAAAGTATCTGCAAGCCAGAATAACCATTTGTAAACTCAAATATTTTAAGTCTGTAAAACATGTATTCTTAGCTAGCACATCGTATCAGCTATTGAATTACAATTTTATTAATTCAAAATGTAGCTAATTTGAAAGAAAGTACTCTCTCGCAGGGCGCTTTGGTTAAGTCATGGCTGTTAATCCATGTACTGGCCCAAATTCGCTGAAACGGCATCGTAGCTATTTCTAAATGTTTTACAGTAACTAGCTATATAAATGATAGTTTTAAGTTTCAGAAAACATCATTTGAGTTCTACTTAAAACCGCTAACATGGGAGGCTCGCTCTGTTTCTAAATTTGTTAAGGATGGGCACTGTTGTTATTGAGGTAAATGAAGTAAATACCAGTAGGTAGATAAAAACGGCGCCCCCACACGGGCTAAATAAATCATTTATACAAACACTGATAGATAGAACTTGGTTCAAGTTACTGCTACTTTTCCGGTCTGGGATTCAGGAGGTATAATTTACTGTACTGGATTTGGTTTGGATGTCAGGATCCTGTCACGAAACAAGATTAATTGTTCAGAACACATTCACGTGTGTCAATTTTTGTTGTCGGAGTAGGTGGGCAAAATTAGGTACACCAAGTCAGATATACAATCGTTGTTGTAGTGGTTGGCAAAATGTGTCTCTTGAAGCAGATAAGGACACACACTCTGAACTAAATGAACAGATCCTATTTAATATTTATATTTAAAAGTCACTCCGTTTACATCGAGTACTACTTATCTGATTAGGTGTGCAATATGTTGCCGAATTGCAACATTTTGCGCACCGAATTTTGCTCAGAACTTATCACCCAAACGTCTTGTTGTCCGTGTGTATATAGAAAAATATATAGTTCCCTTCTAGAATTATTCTGAAAATGTTATAACAGAGTTTCTTATTTTCATAATACTGGTATTATTAAAGATATACCGTATCCTCTATATATAGTCATATATACTGCACGGTCATTGCGGCGTAGATTAAAACAAATTCCAATACAACGTTTTCAAAAGTGCAATCGTCGTCATAAGAACACACACCAAATGTAAACGTAAACATTTGATGAGATAGAGTACTATCAAATTGAACACATTCAAACATAGATGCGAATCCCAGTAACTATGGAGATCGCCATTCCGCTGACAGACGGCCAACTTGGATGTGAATAATGATTATATATTTTATTTATTCACTTATTTGTACAGACTAGTGATGTTCCGTCAGTTGTCAGTGTTCAAGATGGTATACCGTTTCTTGTTCAGCACTCCCGTAGTTCTGAAACAGAGATGGGAGAGAAGATGAGTTGGAATGACCGACACAATACCATAGAAATCCGCACTGTAACACCGTGAGGGTGGGTGGGTACGATCTTGTCAGTTTTTGAACTGTCATGAGCAGTAACGTTTTAACTTTAGTTGTATGATCCATGCAGCAAATACTCATCTAAGTATATAGATATATACATATATAAATATATAATTGACACATTACAGCATGACAATGTTACAAACGAGTGACCCGTTAGTGACGATGTATCCCTGGGCACTTGGATCCCGCCAAGCCAGATTTTTAGGGGTGCCATTATATGATGGAATTGCTTCACATGCATGATTGAAGAGCGAGATCTTCAACGTGTATCTCTATAACGAGAGTTTGCATAACTCATTGTCATTTATAGATAGTGTTTCAAGTCTCTATCACCGACGATTTATTGTAAAATGTTATTGGGCGACCACAGTGACTACAGTAACAACATACCGTGACACGAACCCGATGAACTATAAACGTCTTCCATGTAGTGATACAGCTAACAGGGTCAACAGCACAAGTTTAAAATGTACGCCTACACTACTTGAAGCACTTGTGTAAAAACAGGGAGTGTTGGTAGACACGGCTGTAAAATAAAACATTAATTTTATTACAATTAACAAAGGACATTTCGGTGTTTTTTTCACGAATATCTGTAGTACAGTGTCATGTCTTGCTGGCGTGTTTCTGTTCAGTTCAGACGCATAAATCTAATTTACGCATTCCACGGTGGCATTTTCTAGTAGTTGTGATGATAATGACAAGTATACATATGAAGCAATTCACCTTTTTCAGTCAAGGCTTTCATGATTGGTGATAAGTCTTTCCAGAATTCGCAATGTTTTGCACGGAGACCACTCTCAGTGTTCAAGATATTTTGGGAATTCATTTCCAATACCAAATATCGCTTTAAGATATCATCGTACTTCGGCCATCTGCGATTTACTTCACCTTCTTCATTTGGGTCACTGAGGAGCAATAAAACGTTATATAAATAAAGGTAGATACGAGATGAGGGCACGCAACTCTCATAGACACACACCGCGACATGTGATCTCTCGCGAGACTATAAGGAGAAAGAGCCATCTGTAGTGCCCATCGTCCGATTCGCACGGTTTCGCAGTAACCGCCATACACGGCCGTAACTAAAATGGTGACAGCCTAATAAATGAAACCTGGCTGACGAAGATGCTAACTTTTCCGCTGCGTGTGAGAAGTGAACCTGCTATAATTGTATTCTTACCGGGAGATTGATATCTATTTTTTTGGAAATACATAAATATTAGATATACATTGTATAACACACATTTCATTTTCGAAGATTCGTCAGACAATGCATAAGCCGCCCGGTAACACCACTCACTCTCCCACCCATCCGGAAAAATTATATTTCATGTGTTAAAGGAAAGGTCAATCCTGTCAATATTGTTGGCCACATAGCAGCAGTTATATACACTTATTTAAATAATGGACAACAAAATTAAAACAAGAAAAAATTAATAGAGTTATGATCCCATATAATATTCCATATAGTCGCCGCCATCTTGGCAATTTTCAAGCGCCCTCTATGGGGTCAGACGAGAATGCGAGCAGAATATGTTTGTGCACTGTGACGTCAATGTCCACATTCATTTGACTAGTCTGCATCATAGCATAGTTCCACTAGATAGTTACAGTCCGGGTTCAAAGTATATATATATGTATATAATGCCGATGTGATTTTGGACAACTTACGGTACTGTACATGACTACGTCAACATTTAGTGTATACACACTGGAGTAATTATGTCCTTAGTGTATATATGTCTGGTCTTGGTCGTAAAATTAAATTTTATTGTGGCTGTCTTATTGGTGATTGTTGTATACTAGTATTTGGGAAGATGGTGAGTTGTTCGAGTTATGAACATCGAGTTACGGAAATACCACGCCCATATTTTAGAAACCACGCTCAAATTTGCAAAACCATGCTCAAATTATATCTCGATTTTCAGTTAGCAGAACTTTGAAGTTACGGGCAATATACATTGTTGTTTTCGTTTAACGTCCACATTAGGTACTCGAACTTTAACTAACAGTTGACTGAACTTTGAGTCACGGGCAACATATTTTTTTTATTTACTGTTACTAAATGTGGACGTTAAAGAACAGTAACAATGTATGTTGCCCGTAACTCGAAGTTTGGTTTTAACTGATAATTCAACGTCGAGTTATAATTTGGGCGTGGTTTTGCAAAAGTGGGCGTAATTTCTAAAATGGACGTGGTCATTTTTGTTACTCAATGTTTTCGTAACTTCTTTGTCTGAAATTCGAACAATTCACCACCTACTATTTAGGTCAGTCAGACACGACCATGCGGTGAATGTGACGATTCAAAGCTGACGCAGTTTTTTTTTTTTTTTTTTTAAAGTCACGGTGATCGTCGCACCGCGTCTTGTTCGATACTGGGGTTCACAGCGACGTAAACAACGCGTGTAAAATACATTGTTTATTTACATGAAATTAGAACATACGCTGCGCCACGACTACCGTCCCGTCCTTTAAATGGTGTATAGTTGATAGGTACAATGGGAAAATCTTAACATTTGTGTGTTTTTTCAATCAAGGCGTATACTAAATAAGGGGTAATTCAGTGGAGTGCATTTGATTTACAATACGTCAACTACATTTGGAGTTTGTACTGACCAATCACGTTCAACAGCTTGTTTTGTCATAAATGAGTACGCGTGTCAGTCTCTAAAATTGACACGTGACTTGTAACGACTTTGTATCTAGATAGCGAGTGGGCATTATCTGGACTGGGACAATCGGACAGAGAATGTCCTGTTAGATCATGTGCACTGTATTGTAATTACTTCATATAAACGTCACATATGTCATTAATACGTCGATGTTTACTATGACATGCCGGTTTTAGATTCTCAAAAGTAACAAAATAGTTTGTAATTACATCGATATTTTTTTTTGCCGGTTTCCTCCCACTATGGCGGATCCTTTTTTTCTTTGATGTGACCCGCTATTTATTACCACGCATGAGCAATTAGGTATATAATATTTAATGTCCCAAATCAGAAGACATTTTTTTTAATGCATTCATCCATAAACGACCCACAGTTCAACATGTAAATCACCCAATACACAACAGACGTACCAAGAAAATGTGTGTGTACTACTTATACGCACATGCGCAGTCCCTCGATTGATTCTAATACATCGCGTGGGACATCCGCTTGTGTTATGTCGTGATGATATAACTAAAACTGTGCAATTTCATACAATACTTAGAAATTGTGTGACAATATTCAAATACCTTTGTCGCCATCGTGAACTGGTTGTTGTCTTGGTGACAGTGGATACTAACCATGTCGGGTAACGGATCTAACAAATTGGTCACTTTGAACGTAAAAAATTCAGTACAGCCTTGGACAACCTTTGTAAAACTTACCCTGTTCTAGCGAAATTAGCCCAGAACCTCATTATTAGTCGACTCATCGTAATATCATCCTCACTGTATAATTGGTCATTGTGTAGAGGAACTCCGAACACGTAGGCGATTTCATCAGCGTGAACTGTACCAGCCCACTCAGGCCACGGGTTATGAGATGAACGATGTTGAAAATTATATAAAAATACATCTTCATTAACTAAGGCATGATACTCATTGGCGAACTCGACTGTGGGACAAATTATGTCATAATCACCCCAGGTATTGTCTGCCAGATCACGCAGTGATTCGCCGTCTTCTTTGTCGTGTTGGCGCACGTACTCCTCGCCAATTTGATCAAGAACCTCCGATGGCAATTCACCAAACCGAAAACCGATTGTTTCCAAGTATTTCTCATATGTGATGTGACTATCGGTGTCTAACGAAAAATCGGGAATCAGACGAATCAGATTAAACATTCCTTCATTTTCATTAGCACCAAGAAGCACTTGGGTCCGTTTTAACTCCATGTTATTTAAACTGTCCGCAGGCTGAGAGAGAATAAATCTGTCGTCTTGTACAGGAAAGTGAATGAGATTGTACGAATTGGCAAGTTTATCCGGAGGTAGATTACGAAGGCATTTTAAGACCACAGACACATTGAATTCATACGACAGTTCCTCTTTCGTCAGACAACCGAGCGAAAACGCCATGCATTTAGCAAGATGTCGATGTTCAGTGTATGTACCCGGACTTAAAAATGGCATCATTGGGCTACCACTTTGTAGAATCGCCCTTTTAAACAACCGACGGCTAGACGGTGAAAGGATGTGATATCCGACACTAGCAGCTCCGGCACTTGCACCGAATAAAGTTACCTGGTCGTGGTTCCCATTGAAAAATTGTATGTTGTCATGTATCCATTGCAATGCCATCACTTGGTCCATTAAACCCATATTTCCGGGTGAGTCAGTGTTTTCGAGAGCTAGGAAGCCAAATGTATTCAGTCTATAGTTTAATGTCACAACAATTACCTGTTCAACGGCGGCCAATGTAGTGCCATTATAAACAGCCAAAGATCCAGACCCGGTAACAAAACTTCCACCGTGAATCCAAACCAAAACTGGTAAAGGCGTTTTATGGCGAGGGTGCTGTGGTGTCCATATATTCAAATACAAGCAGTCTTCGCTCTGAGGTCCTTCGGTGTTCCACATGTCGGTACCGACGAAATCCCCCAATGCCCTGTCGGGCTTCTGCCAGCATGAACTAGAATATTCCGTCGCATTTCGGACCCCTTCCCATTGTCGCACTGTTGGTTCCGGGAGGGTGAAACGCCGTTCGCCAACAGGTGGGTCAGCGTACGGGATAGCCAGAAACGCGTCGACGTAGGTGTCCAAAATGTCGACTCGTTTACCTCTGACTTTTCCATACAGAGTCTGAATGATAGGACCAGTGTCATCTTCGTGTGTGAAAACTACCAAAAACAGCAGCAAGACCACAGTTGACTGAATACATGCCAACATAACTGTATCTGGGGGTATTTCTCAAAAGTAAAAGTTGTCCGAGTCCATTTTTCTAGACGTTGTCTTTCAGCCACTCAAGTCTATAGTAAAGAGAGAGGCTTATTTAAAATAACACAATGACATGACCTCTCAGTATATATATACTGGCAACCTAGATCACGACCTATGGGTTCTTGGGGCTTCCTCTCAGCAAAACTGGCTTTGCGACGAGTGGTCGTCATGAAAAAAGAACAAAACCGTGACCCCATTTTAACTATAGGTCAACACTACTATTATTATGTTAATCCCGCCTTCGTTTCAAATAAATGTCGGGGTTTAGTTGTTATGTTGTCTTATAGAAAAGCAGGTCGATCTTTTGATAGATTTCAAATCTGTTTTACTGCTGTCTGAGAGTAGGTGCAGCCCCACCAACCTAGTATGTAATTCAACATTAGCATTGAACATAGTGATTGAAAAACCAAATACTTAATTTCCCGATGTCGTGCCCATCCACGCATAGACCATGGAAGCTAATGCATAGACTCACGCGATATAAGGCCTTCGGGCATGTCAGCTTAAAAAGGCGAATTAATTTGCAGAATCTGAAACCCGAACTACAATAAGATAAAGGAATACAAACACCCACATATTTTGCGTCGACGTATACGCAATTAGTGTCACGGACTGTAGTAACTGTAATCACTGCAGAATGTGGTTAAGTCCAGCTTATGTGAAGAGAATTCAAATTGTCAATGAGTAACATGTAAAAAGCACTAGTACTTACAAATATACAAGCAGACTCCGACAACTAAAATGGCCCAGTCCTTATCGTTACTGTTGTACCACTGCCGTGGCCGTCAACACTGTATTTTACGATTATAAAGTCGTGAATCACGATCAAACGAATAAACTTTTACATCGATTCCACAGAGAAATCACCAACTACTAATATATCTAGAGATTGTCGGTTTCCTATTTACCGGCACTTAGTCACGCATCAAAGTTCGAAGATTCTCATTGTTTTTACAGAAGCGGATCGCCATGGCAAAATTGAAATCAACGATATCAAATTAATTGTTGCTTTTACGACCACCAATGTATGTATCTATTTCTGAATACGATACAAATACGTCGTACGGTGGTCATGGCAACAACACGAATGAAAAGACAGAATGATTATGATGATCTACAGTCTCATAAGTGTGTTTTACGCATGTATATGTTACACCCCGTGCTAAAGGGATGGAACAAATATCGAGTATAAGGCCATAAATTGCTTGGATAAACAGAATAGGAAATGCGGTGGTTGCAAACAGAATTATAAATTACGCTAAGCTAATGTACATCCATAACGATAATTATATTTCAAAGTCAACTTTATTCACTTTTAAACTTTCATTTATAAAACGTTGAACTGGTAATGATAACAAACTGGGGCGATGCAACATGGCGAAAATTTTTCAACCGTTGATGATGATTGCGTCACAAAGTTCACAATGCACATGCAAAATCGAAATATCACGGCCTATCTGCGTTTCGTCGGCACCAGTGTGTATCATTTGCAATCTCCGGACACGGTCACGCTGTATCTCCCTGCGAGAAAGCACCGGGATGTTTACATATTTAATTACCGGGTGTAACTTTTCAGCTGACTTCTCTGGTTTTGATTTTGTTCTACCTCACAGAGTGGCGCCGGGCAAAGTGTGAAGGTTAACTTATAACTTTACTCGTAAACTGATTAAATGCGACAGGGTGTGTAATACTATTGAAATACGGACCAGTGAATTGAATGGCCATATTGTATTCACTATGTATTGAAGCGTAGACTAGTTTGAATTCAGGGATACGGGGAAGAGGGTATAATTAAACCCACCAGTTTCTCGGGTAATATACCTCCGTCGCAATGTAACCCAGTCAAGAAGAGATGAAAACCACATATTCCTACTTATTTATCAAAGAATTCTTCTAATAATATTTAAGAATATGAGTACGACCATTTGTGATGGAGGGAACAACTCTCATACAAGGTACGGTGAACATCAAAAGGTTGTATGATTTGGAAAAGAGGTAAAATATGTTTTCACCCCAAATATATATTTGTTACGAATAGAAAATCAAATTTCCATGACATGAACATACCCTAGAAAAAACCAACAAAGGCAGATTGGCCGCCGTCTTGTTTTTTTTTATCTGAAATAAATATTTTTAGTTAGTTCTTCACATTTGTGTGTGACCGAAACCACTTTGCTACTTACATTTACTTATTTCAAGCTGTTATCGATGATAATTTAGAAGCACGGGTAGTTCAACGATATCAGTGTATGAATTCACGTTTGATATGCTGAGAATAACCTACATTTAGGCGTTTGAGGGCGCTTTGTATCTCTAAATTGCATTGACCTACTTGCCCCTTAGAAACCTCCGCTTCAAATTACAGTAACATGAAACGAGATACAATCCGTGGAAATGGACGGGAGTATTTTTTTCTCGAAAGAAAACTTCCTCGAGCAAATAGAGTGTATATGTATCTACATTATTTAAAATCTTTGCTAGTTCCTTCATGGTTTCCTGGATCGAAGTACTTTATTTTGTCATATTTAAGCGTATTTACTATATTCTCGTCATCCACTCATCCTTCGAGCACAAATTCTACTGCTACTGATATTTTTTTCTAATTTGTATGCAACGTATCATATCAAGTGTATGATTTCACTCGTACATGTCTTATCGTAATTATAATTACACGTCGTTACATATTTTAATAAGCTACACAGCAAGAAAATTTAATTTAGAATTAGCATCTACAATCTACAGAATATTTAATTAAAGATTAGTAAAATCCCAATCTCAAACTCTTCAGATATCTACTTCCAAGTCGAGATACAGGCATTATTATTAATTGAACTTAAAATTTATTTATTTATTTATTTATTTATTTATTTATTTATTTATTTATTTATTTATTTATTTATTTATTTATTTATTTGAATAAAAGTGCGCTCGCTGGAGTGTCAATCCACGTGTGCCATTCGGATTGAGACTCTGAGGGCGCTGCATTTCACTGCACTGTCAAGCTTGCTTTCACGGAGATGAAGCTTGAGTGGTGATTGATTCACGAAAAAGATTGTTTCCTTTCAAAATCAATCATCAAATTAATTAGCAGTACACGGAAGCAAGTCATTCTTGTTATTGCGTTGCCAAGCAACGAGGCGATGCTCCAATTTATCATCGTGTAGCGTACTGTCATTAGACTAGATTCTGTTGTCTGAACTGACAGGTGCCATAGTGTATGTTTCGGGGAATGATAAACGAACACTGACGTATATATAAAGTGTACCGTCGATGGAGATTAATTCATTTTACGTGTTTCCCTGATCCGTGTCGATATTTCTATGCGAATCGATCCACACAATCATTGCAGATGTTATTGTCATTCACGCGTTGTAATTAAATTGACCGACACGTATCAATTGTGGCTCAAAACCAGCCACAAAAATAAGAAATCACGAAATATGAGGTTTATATAACATAAAATGATTATACATGTGGATTCATTAATTTGTGGATTCACTATAAGATGATATTGTGCACATGTGCGTTATTGAACACGTTTTTTTTTATCAAGGTCATTGTGAAATTCAGTACTCTTTAGATAACAAATAAATCAAAGTGTTTCCATGGAGCGTCATTTGCATTCTATTACTGTTATAATGTCGGGAAATCTCCAACTGCTACATTCTCCCTACACAATGACGTCTCTCGGATTATTCTCCCTTAATAACAGATATCACCATGGTTTCCTGTGCCACGCGTGGATTCTCATATTGGAACCGAATTGTTGAAATCAGACAGTGCCACGTAAGGTATCGGGTGTCGTACATTGCTCCAGACAGTGACGCATGGGCACCGGCCGCCATACATGCGTGTTTTTTCAGCTATATGACCTGTCTGCGCCCGGTGTTTTTCATAGTTCTTACTGCGTACATTAAGTGTTAGCCGGTGGACAGTTCTGCCAATTGCACTGGTAACTTATTCACGAATCCGTGGATGAGATGCTCATAATAATAGTATTGCCCACTGGTAGGAACAAGTAACTCTGGAAGATGTCCAGTAAGTTTGTCCTAGTTACTATCGTTTATTTTGCATACTGCGTAGTTGGTAATTGCGATAACCATCATCCGAAAGTTACTACGAGAATGGGGGCAGTGGCTGGAAATCGCATCCGAATACTGGAAGAGACTGTTCACAGCTTTAAAGGTATTCCTTACGCCGAACCTCCGATTGGAGAGTTGCGATTCAAGAATCCGTTGCCTTTGCAGCATCCCTGGTCGGGTATCAGAAATGCAACGACTTTTGGTAATGCATGTTGGCAGCAGTCTGACACTATGTTTTTGACAGCGGCCACAGATTTGACACCGTCTGAAACACTGAGCGAAGATTGCCTGTATTTGAATATCTGGACCCCCGAGTCGGCACACAACGCGGCAGTGATGCTATGGTTTCACGGGGGGAGTTTTTTCTGGGGAGCTGGATCGATCTCCTTGTACAACGGTGGAACTCTGGCTGCTGTAGAGAAAGTTGTCGTCGTCACTGTTAATTACAGGTTAGGTGCATTTGGGTTTTTGACATTAAAACACACCGATATACGGGGTAATATGGGCATGATGGACCAGGTTTTAGCAATTGAATGGGTGAAAGAAAATATCCGTTATTTTGGTGGGGATCCGGATAAAATTACTCTGGTTGGACAAAGCGCGGGTGGGGCCAGTGTGACGTATCATCTTCTTTCTCACGTCGGTAGGAATAACTTCCGTCGGGCCATTGTACAAAGTGGAACTTCTAACAGTCCCGCTCTGGATCCTAAAACCATGGATGAAACGAATCATTATGCTCAACTTCTGTCTGCTGATCTGGGCTGCGTGGAGTCTATAATACCTCTAAATATCACCACCTCACTGCATGACTTGCCGACACCTGCCGACCCCATTGATTACAGTATATATGAAGAAAACTACGAGTCCTCGAGCGAGGTGACTCTTGGTGAGATCGATCAGTATTTTGAAAATCATGCCACGGAAGTCATTGCATGTCTGCGTACCAGGGAGCCCATCGACTTCGTAACAAGTCTATGGTCATTCGGTTTGCACTTTCCGACAATAGATGACGCGTTCATTCGTGAGACACCAGCCGATTCGATCAATGGAGAAGACTTCAAACGGACTGAATTGCTGATAGGTATGAATGAAAACGAAGCCGCAGTGAATCTTCTTCGAATGAATTGGTTGCCCAGAGAAAACGACTCTGTGATAGACGCATCTCTATTTCATCAACGCATACAAGATTTTTACCGGCGTGACCAAAACGATAACATTCTTGCTGAAACAACTGCGTTTATGTACCGAGACTGGTACGACAAACACAACCCTGAGAAACTACGAGATGCATATGAAGATATAGTGGGCGACCATGACATCAAATGTCCGTCTATAGAATTTGCCAGGACGTATTCCGCGTCGGATAGTACGCAAGTTTACATGTACCAGTATACACACCGCCCATCCCTGTCTTCCTGGCCCGAGTGGATGGGGTGTGTACACGGGGACGAGTTGGCGTTTGTGTTTGGTCATCCGTTGCATATGGAGAATGGATACACAGAAGAAGAAAGTAATTTCAGTCGAAAAATTATGAAATATTGGGCAAATTTTGCCAAAACAGGGTAAGTATATTATATAACATGGCGTAGCAAATCTGGGTTTGCAATGCAGTTAGCTGACAAAACAATTGGGGAGCGAATTCAGTATAATTTCAAGTTTATATTATAATACTGCACAACAGGAAACATATTAGGGGTATTTTCAATAAATCAGACTATGTTTGTGTTTTTTTTACTAAGCTTTAATTTCATTTGAACGTTTGTATTTATTTTTAAACACATAGAGACAAAACGTATATATTAGTATACCTGACTTTGATTCAATGTGATATACAATTGTCGAGGATCATCACACAATTACAGGTACCGGCATGGATACATCCGGGTTCTAACAGGCGTTATGTATCATCAACAATTCAATACATGACTTAACTATATATTAGTATCTGGTTTCTACTCATTCATTTACTCTATTTTACAGTAAAACGATCCTCACATAAACCACTCAAAATCTCGCATAGTTCAAGTTCAAGTCAACAATATGTACTATTTTCTTTCTTTTAAATTCAGCAATCCTAACGTTGATGATCCTGCAAGTGATCACCATGGTAACCAGTGGACTCGTTACGGGTTGGACAATCTTGCATATCTCACACTAAACATGTCCATACTGAATAAAACAATATTAAGCCGAGGGTTGCGTGTCCCTTATTGTGATTTCTGGCGAGAACTGGTACCAAAGGTAACAGAAGGAGAATCCACGCCCAAGGACACTGATAAGGTACGAATCTCAACATTCTCAGCAACAACCAGACGATCATTTGAGAATGTCGGATCAAAGTTCGGAACATTTACGTAAACAATTGTGATTGGTATTTCATAACTAGAGGGAAATGAGTAACGTAAAACCGCACTACAAATGATACACAGATCCCTAAACACATGGTAAAATGGTGGTTCCCATAGAAACCGAAGACCCCCTAGAAAGGTTCCATGTGTTAACACGAGTTTTCCTGACTTCCTGATAAGCACATTCTGGTAGCCATTTGGTAATCAGCAATATTTAAAATAATTAAGCTCTGACTTAGAAAATATATAGTGAAGTAACAGTATCACCCGACATTTTCGCAAATTGGGTCGTCACAAGATTGTTTACACAGCATGGACTGAAAGAGAGCATATAGGAACCCCGGGATAGAAACTGTACATTATGGGTACAGTTCCCACGAGTGACGTACTGCCGAACGGACACTGAGAATATAGTAAAATCGTCGCACCATCTTAGAGTTAAATTACAGTCTAGTATACTATCAACAAATGTTGTATGACATGTCTATTTACACATTTTTCTATTTCAGATAACGACAGTGATAGGTGTGCCAACCCTACGTCTTCATCATCCATACACCAACTACCCCGTGCGCGCGTGACCCTCCACGTTGTCTTTGTAATTTGGCTGTATGGCACCAATCGGTTGTGATTGTGATGACAGACACGGCGTAAAATATGATGGAAATATGGATGCGTCTGTTAAGCTCTCGGACACGGTGTGATGTGTTTGGCATCGCGGCTGCCGTTACGTCGGTGAATTGATACTTGTACGAGCAATATCGAATCCGCCAAGATATATAGAGGAGAGACCCTGGATGTCTGCAAAATAACACGGCATATGAATACTATGGATTGATTGTACAGCAATGGAACACGTGCCGTAGTATGGTTTCCTCATTATATATTATAGTGGATAAGAGAACGGCCATGAATCATGCAATACATACTGAAAAATGACTTGCACTGTTTTGTCGATCAACGTATTCTCTTCTCCATAGTAACCAATTACGTTGAAATAAATATTCAAGTTGATGAAACTTGGTATTGCGATTTTTAGTCCCCGTTCCCCGAAAACGGGGTCATATAATTCGGACTCGGTCCGTCTGTCCGTCCGTCGGTGTCATATTCCAGAACCCTCTGGAACAAATCAGTTCATTCTTTGCATATACTCAGTACTCAGCGGAAAATATGCACATGCATTGGTTTAGTAATTCGATTCAAGTTGGCCGACTTGCAGACATTTTGTTTTGTTTTTTGAAAATATGGCATGCTTTGTCAGTTTTTGTTTAAATTTGGTACACATTTTAGGATATATGTTCATAACGATTTTTTTTTGTGATTGGATAAAAGATGGCTGACATGCAGCTATTGCGTGTGTTTTTTTTTGTGTAAATGTGGTATTTTGGACATGCTTTGTCAGTTTTTATTCAAATGTGGCACATAAATGTTGATTTTTTTTTTTGAACGGGTTCAAAATGGCCGGCTAGTAGCCATATTGTTTTTTTTTTGGAAAATGTGATGTTGATAAGGTTTTTTTTTGTCTTCAAATTGTACATGTTAGTATCCATGGCAGTCACAATCGAAGAAAAGATGTCCGACTGGCGGCCATTTGTTCGCATATTCTGTAATGTTTGCACATTTAACACGTATATCTCTTGCCAACAAATTATTATATTAGATTTTTTTAATCAACACTATGTGAACTATTTTATTAAATTTCTGTAGTTTTTCGTTAGAAACTCGTCACATGTACATTACATCACCCACCCTACCGTAACGTGAGTCAGTTGAATTCAAATTATTACAGTCCTTCGCACTCACTGGCATTTGTGTGCCACGTTAGTTGGTTGTTTATTTCTTGGTGTTTTTGTTGTTTGTTTCTCTGTGATTCACAAATACTATGACTTTTCAAGTCCAAGTTCAACAAGTACATTTGTACTATCAAACAAGTAGTTAAAATGCCGACCAAAAACTTGAACGTAGACACATGTTGTTATCGTCATAAAGGTCACTGTACCCACGTATGTCAGCCAGTACATCACACAATGACACGTCTACATCATATAACGGCACGAGTACACCACGTAATATTTGTATTAGGTCAATTATGTTGTGTGTCTTACATATTATATAAACGTACAGTGTTTTGTATAGACCAGCTCGTGTACCACATACAGAGGTAGAGCATGTAATATCTGAGCTAATGGAGATTTAGTTGGTCCATCAGCTGCAACCGACTTGAATGTTTTGTAGCAGCATTGAATTGAAGTCGTCACCTGCGCACGCGCGGGAATTGAGTCCCAAGCGACGATAACAATACACGCTAAAATCGTAAAGGCTCATGGGTAAACGTTTGTTTGTAAAAAAAAAAAAAAAAAGCCACGCTATAGCCATCTGACGCATGCGCAGGTGACGACTCCCCCGCTTCAAGTAATATATTAATCGGTTCAGTGATGTGGCACTGGGCAAATCAACTGCAGGCTGAATCTTCCAATACACGAAACTGTATAGCGGTATGTAGTCCGAAAGTATGCGGAATATTTTTTTAGTCGAAACGTATTGCCAGATTGATTGATTCAGAAACCCCATTGGTTATGGTATGCCCGTATTCGAGACACACACAGAGGAAAGCTTCTGGGTACAGACCGTCGTAATTCTTGGTAATGCAACGACGCATACCGTATGTGATGCAATGGTATGCCCGTACAGGAGACGCACACCGTCTGTGATGCAATGGTATGCCTGTTTACAGGAGACGTACACCGTCTGTGATGCAATGGTATGCCCGTTTACAGGAGACTCACACCGTCTGTGATGCAATGGTATGTCCGTTTACAGGAGATGCACACTGTCTGTGGTGCAATGGTATGCCTGTTTACAGGAGATGTACATCGTCTGTGATGCAATGGTATGCCCGTATACAGGAGACGTACGCCGTCTGTGATGCAATGGTATGCCCGTTTACAGGAGACGTACAACGTCTGTGATGCAATGGTATGCCCGTTTACATGAGACGCACACTGTTTGTGATGCAATGGTATGCCCGTTTACAGGAGACGCACACCGTCTGTGATGCAATGATATGCCCGTTTACAGGAGACGTACATCGTCTGTGATGCAATGTATGCCCGTTTACAGGAGACGTACATCGTCTGTGATGCAATGGTATGCCCGTTTACAGGATACGTACATCGTCTGTGATGCAATGGTATGCCCGTTTACAGGATACGTACATCGTCTGTGATGCAATGTATGCCCGTTTACAGGATACGTACACCGTCTGTGATGCAATGGTATGCCTGTTTACAGGAGACGTACACCGTCTGTGATGCAATGGTATGCCCGTTTACAGGATACGTACACCGTCTGTGATGCAATGGTATGCCCGTTTACAGGAGACGTACATCGTCTGTGATGCAATGGTATGCCCGTTTACAGGAGACGTACATCGTCTGTGATGCAGTGCTGTACCTGTATACAGGAAGCATGTTCTTCTTCATACACTAGTGTGTTCGTAGTTGGGACACGTACACAGACGGCATGCTGTATTTGCGATGCTGTACTATGACTGTATATTGGGGACATGCATCGTCTGTAATGCGATGGTATGTCTATCCACATGGGACATACATCGTCCGCGATTTAATAGTTTACTCGGGAACGCATCGTCTTTGATGCGATGGTATGTCCATCAGAAACACACAGGGAAGACACGCCATGTGTGATTGTAGTTGCTATGATCATGGAAGTAAAAAGAGAGCTCCATGCTATGATGCTCTCGATCTTTTACACATTATGATACAATTTGAATAGTTTTTAATGATTACCACGTGTGTGTTTGTAATTATAAATGAAATATTATCTGAATACGACGACGTTCTAATTACTCAGTGCCCAATGGGAAAATGGATCAGTCTCCACAGCATATGTTTCTTACCAGCCTGCGTTACAAGAACCGATGATGGTATTTTTTGCAAACAGCGCCACCTAGTGCATTTAAGATACGATTTGTGTTTTGACAACGTAAATATGTTTATGCACACCAAGGAATGTTGTTTCATTGTGAAATAATAATGAATTTATTCACTTTTTCATAAATCGGCGGATTGGTCAACAGTGTGTGGGGGCGACGAACCAACCCACAATGCATTGCTCCCTCAAAATTCATTCCTAAAACTACTCAGTATTTCCTCGTTACAACACCTCATTGGTTGAACACATATACACGTATTGTTCCCGATACAACACATTACAGCGGATAAAGACAAATTTGACGAATGTGTACTATAATGTTATAACAAAATGCTACTGTCTACTGTTTAACAGTAGAAAAACAAAGATGGTTTTACTAATTGGCTCTATGGAAATGTAATATGAGACCTTATAATGAATGGCATGCACCACAGC